ACTGTCTATCCACACATTACAATCCCCTCTTTTATATACCCGCCTACCCTAGCTAGTAAATACTAGAGCATTCATGAAAAAACAAGATAGTTCTAGAAAATATAGGGCGCCACACCAGTCACGTGACCTCGATGACGCAACAATATAATAACTTGCACTCCTGTAACTGCAATTTATTAAGACATTTACAAAGTTAATGCCAAACGCCTGGTAACAAAGTTATCAAGACAATTTAAAATATCGGAAGGAAAAGGCAATTAGTTTTTATAATAGAAAAATGATGTAGAAGATGCAACGTCAACGATCGTAGTATACATATTATTTGAAAACTTTAAGCACTGCAAAATATTGGAAAACCTAAAAATGTCTTTAACTAACTCTTCACTCATGTGCTTCTATATGCTTGTTTGTAATTAACCACAAAGTTATACAGTGGGCTATCTGTGCTCTGCCCACAACGGGTATCGAAACCCGGATTCTAGTGTTGTAAGTCCGCGGACATACCGCTGTGCCACTGGGGGGGGGGGGCTTTTATATGCTAAAAACAACTAAAATACTAGTTATAAGTGTTAATATTAAATACTAAGAGTACTAGTTTCAGAGAACAGTACGATATCGCATGGATTACAAACACACCATATATCATTCTAGCTTGTGAAAATATTATTTTCACTTACTAATAAATACCTTTAAGAGAGTTGTTTGTTTAGTTGTTGTTAAACACAAAGCTATACGATGGGATATCTGTGTTGTGCTCACCACGGGTATTAAAACCCTGTTTTTAGCTATATAAGACAATAAACGTATCTATAAGATGCTGGAGGCCCTGTAAGAGGTAGGTAACAAAGCAGTTTTTTTTTAAATTTCGTATGATGTTATTTCCTTAATTTAACAGATACGTTATTGTCTCTTGTATATTATTACATTTATATATATCATTAACATTTCATTAATAACATAAAAAACACTACAACAGATTTCTTTGGAACAGTAAACTGTGAAATTTTAGTGATAATCACTTGATTCAAGAACCTCTAAACAAATTAATTCAATTATATGTTTGGCAACTTTACTTTTATGCTCTTCTATAAACCTAGAACTAACTTATTAGCTTTCCTGTTCAGCATCTTCAAATTATTATTTCTTTACAGTGTTACGTCTTCGTTTGTTAATTAACTTTCCGTAACTTCGTTCCGACGAAACTTTAGCGACACAAGTTCTTTACGTAATAAAACTGGTTTATTCTTTCCGAATACAACTTTACCGATACACTCAACTTCAACAATCGCGCTAAACAAACGCTATAAAAACGAAC